TGTGTACAATAAAGTGTTAAAAAATTATGGCTTAAATGAAGAATCTCATGTTCCCCTTATGTTCACCCCTGAAATAAGCTCTCAGAAGGAAGGGTAAAGATGGAGAACAAATCCATGTTATCCTCTCAACTTAGAAATGGAAATATCTAAAAAAACAGTGAGTTATTGAACAATTATGGGCACTTAACTATGCACAGTGGTTCTATTCCTCAGAACAGTTTTCAATACTCAGTTAAGGAAGTCTCTTCAGTTTAACATAGCAATCTTTGCTGGAAGCCTCAAATGGAGAGAATAAAGATAAGTACAAGAAAGGATAAAGAAATAAGAAGTATCCATTCTCAATATTTTCAGGAAAAAAAACTCACCAGTGTCTGGGACATCAGTTGGTCGCATGATTCGTCGAATTTGTTCCATGCCCTGTAGATCTGGACTCAGTCCACCATGGCAACAGAAGATCTTTTCATCAATAATGGCCGCAATTGGCAAACAATTGAAGCAATCGGTGAACGTTTTCCATAATTTTATGTTATAGCGGCGTTTACCTAGCACACATAATAACTGTTAATAATCAGTTTCAAAAGTAGTTGGCTTGCAAACTGCTAATAGCAAAACAATCAACTGTAAAAACTTACATTCATCATAAAATCCATATATCCTGTTGATGCTGGCACACTCATGATTTCCTCTGAGTAGGAAGAAGTTCTCAGGATATTTTATCTTGTAGGCTAGCAGGAGACAGATTGTCTCAAGAGATTGTTTGCCTCTGTCTACATAGTCTCCAAGAAACAAATAATTTGCTTCAGGTGGAAAACCACCATATTCAAACAGACGCAGCAAGTCAGTGTACTGACCATGAATATCACCTACAGAAGACAAAATTACATACAGTAACTAAATATTTATGGTTAAAGAGAAATAAAATGCAGAATTACATCTAACATGTTTAAGTAGACCAATACCAGCAGTTACAGGAACTGAACTGTCTAGAGTGACAAGAAAAGTATTGTTCTTCTCTGGAACATTTTTCTACGATCCACTGTTTCATAGTTGCTTCACTCATCAATACTGTATCATAAGTGTTTCTTTAAAGTAAAGTAAAAAAGCCAAGCTGTCCCACTATATGCCATGCAGGTGCTTGGGGGGATAGTATAGCTCCTACTCATTCTTGACCTTAGCTCTAGATGGGGATGAGTGGTCAGCATCACGCTGCACTTTACCCCTGGGAAAGGACCCAAGTATCCATTGGAGAGGAGGCTGAGTGGGCCCCAGAACTAGCCTGGACGCAGAGGCTAGAGGAAAAATCCTCTGTACCATCAGGGATAGTGTCCCAGTCATCCAGTCATCCAGTCACTATACTAACTGGGCTACGCCGGCTCATTAAGTGTTTCTTTAACATTTAAAAACACCCCATCCACCGCGATTCATACCTAAATATGCAACTATAAATAAACTCACCGCAAATTTTCAAAGGTGCTTCCAATTCAAGAAGTATTGGCTGCTGTAGAAAAATCTCCCGAGATTTGAGGCACAGTCCTCGCACCTCGGCTTCGGTCATCTGCACGGACTTCCCTGGGCGACATCCCCTTACTGTAAAAGAAATTTATTATGCTACAAACTTACAGTAGGTTTCTGCAAATGCTTTACAGTCTGCTCTATATAACGAGACTGAATGCATCCAATACATAACTCTTTTGCAGTGAGTACTAAATAAATATGTTTAACAGCTAAAAAAACTTATTACAAACTCAGTTCCAGTAAATTTTGCTGGCACTCTGTAAACTACAACGTACCTTCCAGGAGTCTTTGGATAAGGCTGTCGACGTTCAAATCAATGTCCGCCATGTTTACTGTGGTTTAGTCTAGAAATAAGCAACATAGAAAACACCGATTACATACAGGGAATACCAACATACGTATCATATGTAAGACTTCATACGTATCATAGTCTCAGGGGTAAAAGTTGGCAACACACATGGCGCACGTCGTCACGCACTATTGTGCTGCCATCTATCAGCAGCTAAGAAAACTACTACAATTACTGTGACGGCAGTTAAAATGTAATAAAAGCCAAACTTGCTTAGGAATTGAGGTTATAACGCCAGCCATCTTCACACTACAAAAGCAATCTTGCGGTAACATTGATACTTTATCATAGTTCCAGCCACTGCCAGAAGCGCAGTTACATTAACTCCCATTTAACTTGCTCAAGCTTGACACCCTCCTTGTTTAAAAATGAACAGTAAATTTTACAATTTTGAATATTACAATCTTTTCCAATATGGCACGTAAACCATATATCCTAACCATACATGGAAAGATTAAAGAGAACTGTACAAACCTCAATCAGAAACCTCAGCCACAAAAATCAATCCAAAGACATCACAAATGAAAACTGGATATTCCATTCAGCTGGAAACAGTTGACCATCTTCTTTTGATGGATGAGTGTGATCTAGTCATGACAATAATTTAACATGCACTAGAATCCACTCATCCACTACAGGAAGAATTAATGTGCTGTCCTGTGCTCTCCAATGCAACTTATTTTGTGGTTCAGATGAATGTCACATTCAGACACCTGATGTTTACTACTACATATATTGTAACATTTATGTCAAACATAAGTGCTATGTATAATATTATATTAAACAGTTTCTTACATCATTATTTTACATAATGTAAATACCCTTCTCTAATTCTCACACTTCCTTGAAATTTATACACTTTCTTAAAAAATGGTTAAGAAACTGTAAACAAACAATGCATTGACAACACAGAAATGGGATACAGTTACTTCAGAAGGATATTTAAAAAAGAGGTCTCTCAACTTCTCAGCACATTATTCTTATGTACTACACATCACTATCCAATTTACACTCTCACACTTAAACAAAACCATTTATATTTCATACCTTCTGTTCTTACACACACATGACACTTCAAGTCTGAAAGGGACATTAAATCTGAGTATGGAAGTAATTTGGAAAGACACTGTATTAAATATGATTTGGTGATTATTGATTTTTACATGTCAATGGATGTGGTGCGACCCTGAAGCCACACAAATGTAACAGATGTGTGCCATACTTACGAAACACATCTTGGGTTATATGACGAAACACATGAAGACTGAGAGCTGAGGTTAAACAACGTTTGTGTAGTGCTGATGTTCTACTTCATTCATAACGTCTTAAAACTCCGAGGAACAAAAATTTTTAAAAAACGTCAAACTGACACAACAGGTGTCATAATTCCCATTCAAGTTACATCTGTAATCATTATATCTTACCCTAATTTAACTAATTTTTTATGGTATACTCCTTGAATACAAGGCCAACTCTTGGTGCACAGAAACAATTTGTGTTAATTTCCAAACCATTCCAGAGACTTCTACCAGTTCTCTGCTAACCAACCACAACTAAAGTCACTGAATCTGTTTCCCTGCTAGTATTTCGAATTTCTTAAAATAATTTGTAAGTTCAAGGCCGACTCATCTTTCTTCCACGCTCCTGACAATTACCTTCCTGAAACAAGAAAAAAAAAAGATGCATCTCAGAAAATGTGATTAATGATCTACATTTTACGTACACTTCATATCTTTCTTGTTGGTGTTTCGATTTGATAACTTACATCTCTTATGATAACAGAAGGCTGATCAACAGAAAGTCTTAAAAACGATCTATTAATACCAATGTTGTTAAACAGTCATTGATGACCAATAACAGTACAAACGCAATCTGTAACTAACCTATTTCGCCAACTTACGTTTAACTTTAAAATTATAACTCATACAAAATTCTGACTTATAATGATAAATCAATGGTAATTCCAATAATCCTACAGTGAAAAGTATTGCGTTTAAGTTTGAGCAAAGTTTGCGCGTTGTTCGCTATCTATGTTGGCAGTCCACTTCCGCTAACCTCGCTTAACACAGCAGATTGCTAACCGTGATGTATTGAGCATAGATATTCTACCCACAGATAATACGAACATTTCTCAAAGATAGAGGACAAGAGAGTGAAAGAAGGGGAACGAGATCCATCAAATCTTAATCTAAGCCTAAAACGCGTCACAACCCGAATGGCAGATTTGTGCGGAACGAAATGTCACAGTCCAAATTAAAACAGTATGTGTATGACTATACTAAGATAGGAATAAACCATGCACAATGAATGTGAATTTTCAACTGCCAGAAAAGAACTAGGTATAATGAATGAATTACCATAACAGAGAAATTTAATATGTGCATCGCCCTTTTTTTAACTTATTTTGTCTCCTCTATCAGCAACCCAGGTGGTTTGCCAGTATATAAACTCGTTGACATTTATTTCAAATTCTTAATCCAGTATAAATAAACGTTTCCAACTATGCAATAAAGAATTTATATACAATATGCTTCCCATCATAAACGAGAACTATATTCACTAGCACAAAAGGCAATAATTTAACAATGCAGAACATTGGCCAACCTGGTAAACTGCTATGTTGGTGTCATAGATAACCTGCTGTTTCGTGTACTGTATGCGTAGGCGGGGTGATCGGATACTCAACTGTGGCAATAATAAAAGCAATAAAAGATGTGAATGTTGTATTGTGATTACTACATGAGAGAAAGTGATGAGCAGGTAGCCAGTTCAAGCAAAAAATTGGCCTGTAGTAAATTCTTTGTGAGTTATGCTTCAAGAAATAAAACAAAATAATTTAAACTTGACAGTATCATCACAAGAAATGGGAATGAAAAGAAGGCTGTTGCTTGTACTTACTATTGTAATTGTGATAATATGGTTTACAAGTCTACGGAATAGAGGTAGGAAAGTTAGGCGGTCATAATTCAGCACTTTTGAAGTGGCATGAACTCAGCTTTTCAACACATCATGCAAACGGGGCAACTGGTGCAACAAGTTCTTGAAGCTTGCTTCTAATTGATCTTCATTGTCATTTTTCTTTTGTCATACATTAAGCCCTATGTTCAAAACTTTTCCAGACACTCCAAGCCTGGAATTTTTACTTAATATTTAACTATTACTCACAAGCACTGTCTTCAATAAACTGTGATGCTGTACTGCTACTAATAACCTGCAATACTCCTACACAAACATAAAAAGCATAGTTATCATGAAGTTATCGTGTGTTTATACAGTGAAAACTTACAAGGATGGGTCATTGGACTTGGGCCAGGAATTTGAATGAAAATGGGATCGATTGGAAGTAGATGTCTTTCCCTTTCATGCAGTGGTCCTTGATTTTATAAATATGTGCTTCAAAGATTTCCCTTTTGCATGTGTATGGTATAAGTTGCCCTATTCAGTGGCAGGGTATGATAGTCATGGGGATAAGGGTTCCAGCTTCAATCCTGTATCTTTTATGTCAGTGAATATTTTGAAAAAACTTGTCACAAAAGGATATATTTCAGAAAGTAAGGCTTGCGGGACAGAAGGTCAAAACAAGTGTGTCTATTTTTCATCTACTTTCCACTGATCCCATTATCATTGAAATCCCCAACACAAGTCGAATGACCTCTCATTATGGGGAGTGGCATTAACCCTTTGAATCTGAAGCTCAATTAAGATTTAGTTCCAACCACAGAGAAAATCCTCCCCTACAAAGATCATTTGGTTAATGCTCTTTACAGAAATCCCTTGAGAATTGTATCAAACCCATAAATACATTCTATGGGTAAAATGGTTACTGTTTAAGCAGGTGGTACATATAATTATCACTGGGCTTATAGAGTTAAGTTTCGTGGATGGAAATGAAAGAGCAGATTTATGCTCTTTATTCAAGGAAAAATGTGGCCTTGGTACCACTGGATAGGAAGCAGGATGGGATACAGGACCATGGTGAAGAGAAAGACCCAAATGCTCTTTTCAAGAAGTGAACTACTACAATCCATTCCATACTTTGCCACAGTTCTGGCTGAGCTATAATGATTCATCTAATGTAAAGACTAAATGAGCTCATTATTTACAGATTATGGAAATATGATTCACCTTTAACCTAAATATTCACTACCTAGACTTCCAATACCTACAATTTTCCAATACATAGGTGAATGGAAGTATAGTAATGTCGAGCAGTCTGTTTTAATTTTCTTGGATATTATCCATCTAGTAAAATATAAAACGTAAAACGACGTTTCGGAGATGGGGCTCTATCTCCGTCTTCAGGTTCCTACTTTGTTGGGCCCACTAGATAGAGCTAATCCCTATCTCCAGACAAAGTAAAAAAGTGAAAGTCCCTGAATAAAAAGACATCACCACACCATCCATCCATGGGATGTAAAAGAATAAAATAGTAGAAATAAAATTCGTTAAACACGATAAAGCCAAATAAAGCAAAAACTCACAAAATGTGGGAATAAATACAAATGAACATTAATTTGAAACTCGATGCACAACTTGAACTTCTTTAGAGATGACCGGAATCCAAATAAGAGATAAATCCAAACTAGGCTGGCTGATAGGATTGGCAAGTGGTGCCATGTGTGCTGCCTCCTTGTATTTCCTGTAGATGGTATTGGGTTCTGTTAATAACACCCTGGCTCCATCCCAACAGACATGATGATCTTCTTCATACGCATGTTGGGCCAATCTGGATTTCTCCAGCAGGCCCTGTCTGAAGTTAATTAGTTAATTTTCTTGTCTGTCAGTGTTACCTCTGACTTTTAGTTTTTACTCCTAGATTCCTATTTTTATTAATCATCTGAAGCTAAGGCATGGCTAAATAATATTTAAAAATTCATTCCCTACCATACAGAAAACAAAGTACTGCCATCAAGAGATTACTTAGTGCTGTTTAAGAATCATGCAAAATGCAGTTACTAACAGAAAATATGTTAACATGAGCAGATAATTGGGACCTATGGATTCATATTATAAGGAGATATGAAACTTTCAGTGTTATAATTCATATGTAAATTAAGTTGCTTAAAACACTCCATTTCAGGTACAATAGGTCTATCTGAATCAGTATCTTCAGAATTAGAAATTGCAGCTCTTAAACAAAATGTGAGTATGACTGGAGAATACAACCCTTTATTTTTGTACTTTGTTTAAATTATGTGTTTCATATTCTTCAATGTTTGTGTCCCAGTGATCTCATAGTATCTATCCACCTACATCTCAAACTTAATTTCTGCTATTACACACATCTCTTGGTTTTCATAATTTCAGTAAGTTACTTTTACAGAAACATGATCTATACTGAGAGTGTATTAAACCAGATATCTCACAGAGTAGACACTTTATAAAAGATTTTTCATTCTTCAGTTAGCAAAACTGTCTTCAGAATGCAGGAGCTGGAAACCATCAAGACTCGACCCCCATTTGCCAGTGATTTATGCAATCACACCGACATATGCAAGGCCCGTTCAGAAAGCAGAGTTAACACGGTAATACATTTATAAGTTGCATGGCGAATAGAGAAAATCCTGTAAAATGGTATTCTTTTGCAGGCATTGATTATATGATTTATTTTATTTAACATTTTTAGTTTTAATTTATACCATATATGGCTATGAGCCGGGATAGCTCAGTCAGCATAGTGACTAGCTACGGGCTGGACGACCGGGGTTCGATCCCTGATGGGGACCGAGGAGTTTTCTGACTCTGGGGCCCACCCAGCCTCCTCTACAATGGGTACCGGGGTCCTTTCCCGGGGGTAAAGCCGGCCGGGGCGTGATGCTGACCACTCACCCCATCTGGTGCCGAGGTCAAGAAAGAGAGGAGCTATACCTCCTCTCACCCCAAGCGCCTGTATGGCACGTAGCGGGACAAACTTTACTTACCATATATGGCTAACCCAAAACATGTTTCCCTTCCTCTTTTCTGGAATCTAATGTATTATAATCTTTGAAGTTATTGAAAGATATTTTTTTCAAATATTACAGTTTTCTGTGATCAATGTCAGTGTATACTATTATTAACCCATTCAATATCATTATTATGGCACTCTGCTTTATAGCAGAACAGTTAAATCCCTGTTATAATGTGCTTTTGACATGGGAAAACTGTTCCGTCATAAAGAATTAATGCAGTATACTATATGTCTTGATATCACAAATCTGTCTTATATTACAGTAAAATCTTAGCATAACAAACTTTCGTGGGATCACAAATTATATTCATAACAAATGACAGTAAACATAAGTTAATAACATATCATTTATTGTTTTTACAAAGGTCAATGCATTTATGTTTGATAAGTGACTGCATGTTCCACCTGATATTCGCAAGCATGAAAACTATCATTCATCCTACAATTACAATAGAAACTAGAGCCATTTAAAGTTAACATGATTATGTAACTTATCCTTCATCTGTCATGCATCGAGGTTTACACATGCTCCAACTCACCATGCACTGCAGTAGCTTATTGGTGAACCATTTAACCCCCCCAATTTAAAATCCTGTGTGCAGCCTCATAGTAAGGGCATTTAAATCCCCTATTCCTGTATAATAAAGTTTATTGTGCATTCTTTGCACAAGTGCACATACATGAAATATTGTGATATTTATTACAAACATCACAGCAATGGATACCCAGCAGGTAGATTTTCATTTGTCATTTCAAACACTGCCACCCTTTGATAATTGGAGTTGCTTGCCACTTTTGTGTCATATGCTTGATTATCAACAATTTAATTATCACTGTCACTAGATTCTAGTCCTAAAAGGTTTTTGTCCATACATTCTAAAACTGACACGATACTGATGCCATTAGTCAGCCTCCTTTGTTCTTATCAAAGACTGTCATCAGAATATTGACATCTAGACTACAGTATATGTGTTTTGTATGCCTATGACACCTAATGCACGTTTTAACAAATTATCTGAAAGAAACAGTGGTATTTTTTAATTATGAAACTCTGCTTGTATTGCCACTACAGGGTTTGCCTGGAAAGGGTTAACACTGTAAAATAGATTTTGTTAAACTGAACACACACACACATCCTGAATGGGAATGGAGTTCTGCTGCATTACAATGAAGTTCACTGTAACAATGTTGTGAAATATTTTTCCATAAGAGTATACGGAAATTTGGTAGCAGTTTTAACAATATTTTCATTATACTGAAATTCTGTTTCACTGGTGTTTGTTATACCAAGATTTTACTGTATTATCTGATTACATTTTAGTTATAATGGAAATTAAGTTGCAGTATTTTCTACAGTTTATTGCACACACTAATGCTTGTTCCTAACCTGCACTGGATCATTATCGAGGATGCTGAAGTTCCATCATCCTTAGTAGCGAACCTCCTGAAGAATTCTGGTATTACATATACACATCTTACTGCAACCACTCCTAAAGAATGGAAGCTAAAAGAGAAGGTCTGTTTGCTTTATATCTATATATGCATCATAATATTTAAAATTTCTAGAAATTGTTGGATGAGTAATGCAATTCAAAGGCCAAAGAGTAACTAAACATTTACTTAAATGCTGTTCTAATTATATTATTATGATAATTTGCTTGGACATTATCCATTATCTGTTATTTAAAAATTTAAACATTCTAAAATCCACCAAATGTCAGAAACTTGCTCTACGTCAGTCTTTTTGTCATGTAAGAAGGTACTTCTATGGGCTCATCTATCTTCATCAGTGCCCATTGATCAAAATTAACTTCATCTGATGAGCCCCACAGAGTCAGTTCTCTCTTACCTGAAGATGCAGTGGATTTTAGAATTCTTCATTTCCAAATATTTAAATAACAAAAAAGAACGCCCAAGCAAAATATAAGAAAAATGCATTTATGTACATTGTTGATACAGAAATAAATTTCAGTTATTATCCAAACTGGTTCATTTTCTTTCTTCCTTTAATCACAGTAGAGAATGAGAGGAGCACTGTTGTTTTGTCAGTGTGTTATGACCAAAATTAAATCATTATTAATGCTTTTTCTTGTCTCATTGTCAACCTAATAACTTGCTTTCATATTCTTATACAAAGGTGTTGTAGACAAATACACTGACTTGGGGCAATCATACTTTAGAAATAATCAAAATCACTTACCAAAATACTGGACTTTTATGTGCTCACATTATTAACTGTGTGCATAAGTCTTAGTATGACACTGAACAGAACTACAAGTCTCTGAAACGTTGCTTATATCTGACAGGAGTCCAACTGGAAAAAGCCACGTGGAGTTCAACAGCGTAACACTGCATTACAGTGGATCAGAAACAATCTGAAAGCTGATGATCAAGGAGTCATCTATTTTGCAGATGATGATAACTCATACAGCTTAGAGGTATTTGATGAGGTATATATATCTGCATTCCATTATGGTATCTGTGATTGATTTAATATTTCGTTTTATTAATATTTTGCACAAGCTGTATATGTAAGCATTCCAGTATCTTATTTTAATTATAATTATTTATATTAATTATGGTCTTCAGCACAATTGTACTGAAGGTTGTGATTACTGTGTAACTGCATTCATGGACTTCTTCCAGTAGCAGAGCATCTGAAGCTAGTCCATGATCCATTTTGTGAAGAACATTATTGAGAGTATGGTATTTTTATTGAACAATTTTCAGCAGCTAACTTCCTGGTAGAAAAGTCTGTTATTATAGGATTTTAGGTTAGTGTTGCTTGTAAATAAAACTATGAGGTACAAAGTACTGGAATTATAAATAAATGTTTATAGATTTTTTCTTACATCTGTATAAATATATCCAATTTATCCCCACTATTTAATTTCCAAAGTAATGGTATCTGTAACATTATAAAAATGGTTATATATATATATATATATATTTAAAATGTTTCACAAGAAATTTTATATTACATTTCACAACAAAGGTATACTCTCCTGTTTTCCTGAACAGTTTCATATCATACTGAAGTCTATATCAAATTTATATGCATGCATAAGTATGTATTTCACAAAAGCAAAGTCAGCTATTACAGGAATACACTTGTCACTACCTGGGACACCTTGTACCCTGAAGTTATTCATAGTATAAAAAAAATACAAAACAAACAAACATACCTTTTACTGTTACTTTATAACTGAGGACTGAAACCTCTCCTCTTCTTCCAGATGCGAGACACACAGGTGGTGAGTGTATGGCCAGTAGGGCTTGCAGGTGGTCTCATGGTTGAGATGCCTGTGTTGGACCCCAAAACAGGCCATGTCAAAGGATGGAACAGTGCTTGGCGACCTGAACGACCATTTCCTTTGGACATGGCTGGCTTTGCAATAAATCTGTCTCATTTCCTGAAACATACAGAAGCCAAGTTTTCCTTTAATGTGGAAAATGGTTATCAAGAATCAGAGATTCTACGGCATTTGGCAACTCGAGATCAGCTTGAGCCTAAAGCAGACAACTGCACCAAAGTTAGCACTTGTTCACTATGTATCTGCTTCATGATAAATAATTTATTTTGGTAATAAATTTGTGTCACACCTTTCCAAGAACTTCCAGCTGTGTTTATAACATGTTCAAGGGCCAATGTAGTGAAATCACACACATGGTAATAATCCTGGTACACCCACAACAAAAAGCATGTAGAAGAGGATGTGTTTTGTGATTATCTTATTCTAGAATTGACAAGAAACAATTGTAATATTGTTCCTTTGGGAGAATGGATGACCTAATGATTGATTATTTTTGCAGGTATATGTGTGGCATACAAGAACTGAAGCTCCAAAGCTCCAAGCTGAAAAACAGTTAAACAAGAAGGGTCTGAAATCACATGGAGGAATAGAGGTGTAGGATAAACCAATACCATACAGATATTACTGTAATGCTTAAATCTTTGACTCAACTAGGAATATTCCAATTCAAGGACCCTAATGAGTCCTTCAGTGCAGAAGCGTGAACTCGGTCATTAGGTTGGAGCAAGTCACTTCAAATAATACTCATCCATGAACAATGTCATGTTCAATTCTGTAAAGTTTTTATTTTAGTCAGGTACTGTTGATGGTAAGGACAACTAATCATGAGATGGCATGTGGGTTGCACAGTGTTGGAAGACAGGAATGTGATGATTGAACCCACAAACTTTCATATCATGACAGTTTGATTTATTTTACATATGTGCCAGTTCAATTCCTTGTACCTGTAAAAGTATCTTTACCATATCACATGAAGCAGCTGTTTGTAATGCCTTCTAGTCATACAGAATGATTCAGAAGTCTGTCAGACATTGTGGGTACATTAATCAGTCACTGAATACAGGGCCATACAGTACGGTGCTGTGCTCGTGTGTAAATTCAAGTTGCAGGTGGACACTTTGAACAGCTATTTAAGTTCCTCTGAACATTTTCATTAAACTCCTTTATCTTACTTTCAAACTACAGTGACTCCTTTCAAAACTGGATCAATATTGATAGGACTGTTTTACTCAAAATCTCTTAACTGATGTACTCAAGAAGTTTGGAAGACTTCCTGAATCAACCTGTATACATGGAAGCACTTCAGCCTTCTGTCATCTGACCATATGCATGTTGAATGGAAAGTTTAATGCTCTTAAAGAAATATTACTTCTCTTTTTTGAAAACAGTATTACCTTCCCAGTAGCTTTTCATATTAATTGGGCATTTCAAAACAAAACCTTATTCAAAGGACAAAAACTAGTAAGGAAACAATGGAAATGTGAATAGTATTCACATTATATGTACCAGTACCCATCTACAATTCAAGCTCTGATGATTAATTAAACATTTATGACATAATACAATACTTTGGAAATCTTTGCTAATTTAAATTGAAGGCATGCAGTGATGTTTAATTGCTTGGCCCATTTAAATTGCTGTGCAATAGTAGCAAACTGCATATCATCATTAAATAATCTGTATTTATTCCAATTTTTACATTAGAATATCATCTGTAAGATTATGAATAAATTTATGCCAATAGCTGATGTGTCTCATTGAACTGTGAACCCTCCTGCCTATCTTGGACTTCTGTGATGGCATATTCAAAGCATCTACTTGTTTCAGACTGTTCTTGATGGAAAATGAGTCAGATAAATATTTACTGATACGAATTTTGCTACAGGTTCCATTTAAGCACATTTTTATTAGAGGCTTCTTTGGTATACCAAATAATTGTAATGGAACATAAAGTCAGATCTTGGCATACACATATGCTGATGATGTTAATTTATTGGGTGATGATACAAATGCTATAAAGAGGAACACAGAAGTTTTACTAGAAGCTAATAGAAAGGTTGGCCGAGAAACAATTTCAGAAAAACTAAGAACATGTTAGTATCCTGTCAGCAGACAGGCAGGCAAAATCATATTAGGGTGGATAATAAATCCTTTCAAAGCATGACAAAGTTCAAATATTTGGGAACAACAATAACAGATAAAAATGATACTCATGAGGAAGTTAGGAGGAGACTAAATTCTGGAAATGCTTGCTACTTCTCAGTTCAAAACATTTTGTCTTCCCATCTGATTTCTAAGAACCTGGAAATTAAAGTATACAAAACAATAATCTTGCCTGTTGTTTTGTATGGGTGCGAAACATGGTCTCTCACTCTGAAAGAGGAACATAGATTGCAGGTGTTTGAGAATAGGGTGTTGAAGATATTCGGGCCTAGGTGAGAAGACGATGGGGTCTGGAGAAAACTACATAATGACTAACTTAATAATTTATACTCTTCCCCCAGTATTGTCAGGGTGATTATGTCGAGAAGAATAAGATGGGCGAGGCATGTAGCATGCATGGATGGGACAAGAGGTGTGCACTGGGTATTGGTTGAGAAGCATGAGGGAAAAAAACCGCTTGGAGACCTAGATGTAGATGGGTGGATAATATCATGTGGGATCTATGGGAGATATGAGTTGAAGGCGGCTAGATTTTGCTGGCCCAGGACAGGGACTGGTGGAGGGCTTTGGTTAATTCGGTGATGAACCTTTGGGTTCCCAAAGCCATCTAGTTAGTTATGAAGTAAGGGGAAATTATTCATAGGATGTGTGAAAATTGTGCCAGAACTGAATTCAACTGTACTGTATCTTAGCACTAATTCCTGACTTTTCAAACACAAAACAATATTTTACAGATTTGCATTTCTGAATTCAAATATGATTTAACGCCAAAACCCTGGATGAATAAAACAAGAACTTAAAGCTTTGGCGCAAAAACAGAAGAAGAAAAAACTGTTTTAATGTTCAATCTTATACTTACTGTTAGTTCAATTGTGCTGACATGTCCTATGTTCTACGTCCTAGGGCTAGATCTAGATAAATTCCATTCTATGGCAACAGCTGAGAAAAAGAAAAGTTGTCACATCAGTGACCAAACGCAAAACAAAATGGCATTATCAAAAAACACTTCGGCAAACATGTTATAAGGAGAAACAAAACTGACTGACACAAATAAGATTTCTACGAACATTACTGGATATTCAAAATTTAGATCACCAAACAAATCCACACGTCAGAGAAAAATTATGTTTTAAACATTACTGATATAACCTAAACCATGTAACAACACGATAAAACCTATAAATAGAATGTAAGAAGAAGATAACGCAACATTAGAGTCAAGGATTATGGAGGGAGCACACTGCCCTGCACAAAGACAAAGAAAACATGGAAATATCAACGCTAACAAATATTCACAATTAATCACTGATACCTAAATGAAATAAATGGATCGCCCACGTGACGTTACGCCAAACACGTGGTTTGTAACGCAATGTGATCCGTGGAAATTTGCCCACCACAGGATAAAAGTAATTATTCCTATTCAGAAAACAGTGAGAATTTTGAAAAGTTATTTTCTTTGACTAAGTCACTTCCGTTAGCAATCTTTTTTCGTAAGTTAATGTGTGCACCTCTACAGGTCTGTAATATTTGTTCTTACTACCTGATTCATGCTCATGAATTTTGTCTTTCACATATTCCCTCTTTGGTGTTCAATCATTTACTAGTGTAAAATGGTACATGTTATGACAATCTTCACTCATGTGGCTTGGGCTTTGGAACCACTATTTAGCATGCTTATATCAAATGACTTTTTAATATTGTTATACCACGTTTTATACTTTATTCATAATGATCTAAGACTCTTTGGCTGAAATTTAGTACCATCTCTCATAGCTGCCCAAGCCCTATTGATGGTAACATAGTTTTTCAAAGCCACAAACTTCTGAGATTTTGTTTATGCTTATGAATCATTTAACTTCTTGAGAAAACATCTCTGCAAATCAGATTTTTGTTATGCTTTACTTACCATCAGCCTACATGTTGAACCACCAAGTAGTGATAACACAGTCCCTCAAAAAATTAGACAATTTTGTAATGTGGGGACGCTGTACTAGTGACTAGATATTCTAATGTGGCAAAGTCTACTGTTCTGATCCCATTATCATTACCACTTTCTTGTAAATTCTCATATCTGTCACTTTCAGAATATCTTCCTCCCCCCACCACTGCATTATAATGTCCAAACATTTTAACATACTATTTGTGAAACTCTTCAAATATATGCTCTAGTTCCTCATAAGTGCCATGCTTTGAATCATCACATTTATCTCAATTTGGTGCATGTGCATTCATAATAGCACACTAACAACCTTTTAATATTATATAGACATCCTATCACTAACAAATTGCTGATGTGATCCCCTTATGTACAAAAATAAGTCCCAAGCTATCCAGTTTCCAAAGGAGAATGTAGAGCCACACTTGTCTAATCAAACCTCATGTACATCTGCTAAATTGAATTTATATTTTGGCAGTTACCTTGATGTTTTCAGAGAACCAGACTTGTCATTCTATGTTCCAAATCATGTCCATTTCCCACTGCTTAGGCCATTCCAAGCAATCTGTCCAGGACATTAGCAAGATCACTAACCTGGGATTACATTTTAAATACTTTTGGGGGAAAGAAGGGTTAAGGTTACTGGGACACTAAAGAATATTACAGATTTCATGTGACTGAGGTGGCTGACTGCAGTATTTTTTTTAATAACATTTTGATTATTTGGTAAAATGCTTTTAGTTGTATTCCTTAACAGTACTACCAACTTGGAGAATTTTGGCTCATCACCTAGATGAAATAGCATCCCAATTACTACAGACTTCATTGTTATCACATGTAAGGATTCAACAGGACTAAAAAAAGTGGATAGTTCAGCCACTAGTCGAACAACTAAACTTCCAACCTCCCAAAACGACCATTTGGTTAAAGGTGATTAAACTATACTGTCAACAAAAATCAGCTCCAAACTTAAAAATAAGTCAATCTAATTCTTGACACTGACATTTTATGTATATCAGATATAATAGCAATTACGTTATCATGAGTCTGAATTATTGACTGAATGGATGAATGACAATTTTCAAGAGGTAGGTCTCCGGTAAACATGGATACTACAATGGTATGGTTTTTATTTTAAATGTACATAGCACAACACACATAAGCGCATAAATGATTTGACATATAAAAATGTACCTGAAAAATAATCCCTTTTTAATTTAATTGTAGACTGCTTTTCTTAATTTATCTTTAACCTATAACAAAGGAAATACGCATAACAAAATCTTTTAATCATCAATGTTTCGTGTCTAATTCAACACTCTAATATTAAATGTACAACATGTTATTACTGCCTAAAAGAAATAAGTACAATTCTTGCATTGTTGTTACATACAAAATAATAGCTCAAGTTATTGTCAGTACATTAGAAGGTGTAGAAATGATCCTCTGTAAGTCTTGTCTCTTTCTTTTACAACCTTTGTCAAATAAACAAATTATTAAGATACTTACAAATATAGGTACACTGACATATCTGAACACAGCACCAATAAATATGTTAAATTTGATAACATTTAAAAGAAACATATATATACCGAGGACATTTTTGATGAAAGCTTTAGGGATTTTCAAACACCCAATCAATGATTATACTCCAATTTCCACAGACTTGTAAGTAAACAGTAGCAAAATGTTTTCACAACTGTAATGAATAATGGTTTCACCACCATTATTCTCACGTGGCAATGTAACTTTCCCATGATGTCCAGTTTGGCCTTACTCAATATCACTATAAAATACAAAAAAGGAGCTTCAAAATCTGGATTAAGCTCCAGGTCAGTCGAATAGGAAGAATGTCCAAACTTACTTTGTAAGATGATAAGCTGGGAAGCACATTTTCTGAATATTTCTAAATAAGTAAGCCTGCAGTTCACAGCAGTAATTTGAATACAAGAAGAATAATTTTGACCTTGTAATATTTCATTCTGTGTAGTGCTTCCTACAGAACAGGAGGCTTAACATGATAAATATTAACATTCATAAATTTTCAAGTAGGAACACTAGCTTCAAGTGAAGAACCCAGTAGAATACTAGGTTCACATTTTTATTTGTTGGCCATTCATGATATTTCAAGGGAAATTCAATTCTCAAAAAGTACTTTACAGGCTTCATAATAAACCAGGAACTTATAATCACTACAATGTCTCTTTTCAATAACTTCATCAATTACTTTAACTTACACAAAAGAGAAAGAGTTCTAATACCAACTGCTTAGGATATGAGGAACTGACTGAGCAAATATTTATAATACTTAATAAGTCACAAGCCACCAAAGCTTTATTAAGAACATTCATTAGACAACAGTCCAATATCAACCCTCTGAACAATGGTGTTCTTTCCAGAGTGATTCAATTTAGCAGTTCAGTTATCCTTTCAAAAATGTGATAACTGCACACCTACATGAATACACAGCATCACAGCCCAAATAAATTACTTCCTCTTATGGAACATTATCAATCATTCCTGTGTATCTCACACATTCCCCAAAGTAGGAAGTCTTATGGACTTAATTTTTTTAAATTATATTCCTTTTTACTAAAAATTAATTTCTTCATTTACATTATTCTAATTTTAATATGGTTACATGGTCAGTAACAAGAAACAATGGATGACAACACACTGCTGACTGAGAATAATGGAGACAGTCTCTCTTAAAATGTTAACATAATTTTAAAGAAACTGTTATATAAAACAATGTTTCTTATCTGGCAGTTCAACTCTGTTATGAAAAATTAAATCTTCATTTATACCACATTTCTTCAAGATGAACCTGCAGAATGTTACATGGGAAAACACTAAAACTACACCTTCCACCTACCATCTATTAATTGCTGCACATATTACATAACCACTGTCCAAAGGGTTAAATTCAATTCAAATCACATTGCGTTCATAAATACATTAAAATTATGTAGGCCACAATTAAGGTTTAAAATATGTATATAAAAAGCACATTCTCCATACTGTATCAGTGTATATATATATATACACACACACACATCTTTTTTTGGTTCTTAAGTGTCAATTATAATGACTAAACTCTTAGGCTGAAATATAATGCCATTAAATCATGTAAATGTGAAAATATTAACTGACCACTTGAATACTGGGCATGACATCATTGAAAAACGCAAGTTCAAGTAGCATGCCCGTACACAGTATGGGCATTTGCTTCACTAAACACATCTGTGAGGTTGCAGCTTGTGTCTTAGGTACTTTAAAGAAGTTCAGCAATATCGACATAATGGACTCAAGAAGGAAATACTTGACAAGTTAAGACCAATATGGCTCATACAAACCTCAATTGAATCACAGTGTTTTGTAAAGTCATTAACTGCTGTTAAACCAGCAGCAAATTTACAAGAAACAACAGTAGTTTCTTGTTGGAAGATACAAAATGCAGCAATCTGGCCCCCTGTTTTTAAATCAAATAAGTATGGACATGTTAAATTATCCAAAGCTTTAGAAGGCAACCAGACTTAGTTTCAAACTGCAAGCAATCCACATTTTGTTCAGTCTGCTTGTAGCTGTTTGTTTCAATTTTCATTCTGACATTTTGAAGGTACACATCTACACAGCTGAGTCTTTGCCCACAAAGCTTGTTCTGGAAATTGATTTCTTCATGTCGAAGTCTACAGATGTCTCTTTCTTAATGCTGAAAACAAAAATTGTACCACAATTATAATTCACAACAGTTATATACTCTGGACCTCTGTGTGTGTCACTGTTTTTTACACTAACAGCACAGCCATTAAAAAACATCAAATTACATTTCATGGAAGTAGGTGTAAGATATGTCAACACTAGATATGTTAAAAATGTTAATGTATGTGGAAACTGTAGAGAAGATCTGGTACAAACAGAATATTACAATTAAAGCAGCTGCATAATTTAGAAAACTATATAATTAAAATAAATAGGCAATTAATCAAAATGCCTTTATTCTCATTACAGAAAATATGTCTTGCTTAAAATCACAATGTATTAAATGTGATAATTTATTTAACAAATTAAGGGACACATTTATTTTAAACGTCCTTATACTTTCAGCATTGTCTCACCTTCCTTGGATAGTAGTCTTGTTACTGGCATCTTTCAAAGGCTCTTTTTCATCACTATAAAGAAATCAAAACCATGCTTACTGCACTGGATAAAAACAAAAATAACCTTTATACATGCTAAATAACTGTTAATAAAGGAACTTCAGTACCATCCAACACTGTAAAATTAAATAAATAATAGACATTCAGAAACCTATGTAATTACTTTACAAAATTTAAATAGAAATCTGCAATGAAATATTTTCTGTGATCAACCCACATGCACAACAAAGAAAAACTTCACCACTTCAGATAACTTGTGTAAACAATAAGATCATCATTTTAAAAATAATACTTAATTACCAGATGCTAATATATGGCATAAAGTGAGTTCAAAGTACTACTTACAAAAACAACAAATAACAATTTTCAAGGCTGAAAGGATAATATTTTTAGACAGAAGAGAGGACACAAAATCCCTTT